CACTATTTCTAGCATGCCTTTTCAATTCACTAAATGACTAGGTAAGTTAGCTATTTCTCAGAATCCATCTCTAGAATAAAATTCTATCAGACACTCTGAGCTACACTTCATAGGAATGCTGTACGTATTTCCTTACAACTGTAAGAAAGTTACAGATTCACAATAAAGACATCTTATCACAGTTATTTCCTTCTTAGCCACACTTTCAGTCACAAAGATGACACCACTAACTAGGCAAGACTCACAAGGTAAATTTAATAATGAAACTTGGGAAATAAGAGTAACTTTAAGAAAGGCAGTTGTTTTGTCAAAAGAGGTGCTGTGAGATTTGCGTGCTTTATGCAACAATTACGGACAGTGTAAGACAGCTTGGTGTACAGAGGAAAGACTGGCTTTGAGAGCTGCAAATCCTGGGTAAAGCCCTAAATTCTGCATTTACCAGATGAACCATCTTGAGCTCTTGTTTCCTCAAGTACTATACGGGTAAGGATGAAGCTTCCTCCACGCACACCCCGCAAGGTTGCTGTGTGCACCAAATGACAGTGTATGCAAATGTGTAGTTTAGACTAAGAGGTGGGATATGAATATGAACTCTTATTTTTAAGGAGTTGTTGCTTACAAAGGTCATGGGTGATGCAAACAAATGAGTGTCACACCAGTAGGTGAAGTAGTCACAGAAAACCAGAAGGTGAAAGGACTGCCCTGAAATCACACCAAATGTCATTTATTCAGGTTCACAAATGGACGAACAGCAAGGTTTGAAACTTTTTTTTTCCTCCCAGAAGCAATTAGACCATGAAAGAATATAAAAACAAGCAGAATGTTTTTAATTACACTATCCTCTGATAAAAGAGAACCAAATCTGCTCTGTCCAAAAAAAGTTCCTTAATTCAAGAATATGCAATTTACACCTAAAACATGGATCTTAAAGATGACTACAGAGTACTAAAACTATTTTCCCTCAAATGGGTAGGCCACCATACTATGTTTAAACTACCTAACAATCCAGTCTGCTCAGGGCCCATAGATGTACATTAGGATAAATCGGATACATCCAATTGACCCCAGCCACTGGGGGCTCTGAAGTTCACAGAACACTCAGAGGTGCATGCTGTGCTGAGATTCAGAGGTGATGGAACGCAGGCCTCAGCGAGATTACCAAATGGTCTGTGAAATCCTTCAAGATCAGGCCTTTCCCTCCCTGAGTCTTCAACCTCATCCAGGAGAGAACATACCTCGCCCCCTCTGCACTCTGAGTCCCAGCTGTCCTTCCTGTTCTTCATGCTTACCAAGCTAGTCCTCGGTTTAGCGCTCCTGTACTTGTTCCCCTGGGCTAGGACACTGTGTCAAGATCTGCACATGGATGGCTCCTTCTGGTCATTCAGCTTAAATGGCCTGCCCCTCAGAGGCCTTCCCTGACCACCCAATCGAAAATAGCCCTTAGTCAGGCACAATCACATCACAGTCTCGTATTTTATTTATTTTCATAACACTGTTCTTCCCAATGTTTTCCTGTTTGTAAGTTATCTGCTTTTTCCCTGCTGTAACACAAGTACCACAAAAGCAGGGACCCTTCTGTTCTGTTCATGGCTAAATCTCCAGCATCCTAAAAAGGGTTTGTACAAAACAGGCCCCTGAAAGAAAGAATTCCCCAGCTCCACCCCAAAATTCACTTCCATTACTAATGTGTGACTGAAATGAAAGAACTCTAGGAATAAAATTTTAAAGGCCCAAGTGCAGCCCAGATTTCTGGAACTCCTCCTCTCTCGATTCACGGCTGCATTCTCTGCCAGTTTACTACTCTAATTCCACCCACTCTTCTATCTTTTCAAAGAACTTGTTGATTCTCATAGTCAAAAGTTCCAATTTCTTTTTTTTTAATTAAAGTATAGTCAGTTTACAGTGCTGCCTCGATTCTGGTGTACAACATGTTTCAGTCATACACATACATATACATAGTTTTCACATTCTTTTTCATTATAGGCTACTAGAAGGTATTGAATATAGTTCCCTGTGCTCTACAGAAGAAACTTGTATATCTATTCTATACAAAAGTACTACTTTCTTAAAGATGACTCAAACTATCTCCACTTCAAAACTAACTTTCTGGCCTCATATTCCAAGCCTACATCTCCAGCTGTCAACAGAACATCAATAGGCCCTTCAACATGTCGAAAGAACAAAGTTGTCACCTTCTTTCTTCGCCACGTCTGGCAATGGCATCAGTTGTCATTCACGCTTGAGTTCTCAATCAACTGTCACTCATTCTACTTTTTCACTTCCCATATCAAATAAAGCATCTGGTCCTACTGCTTCTTTTCAGCATTTCTTGCCTCTGCCACTGCCTCTCCATTTTCACTCCCACTAAACAAACTAGACCCTCAGCACTTAGAGGGAAACTACTAAACTTGTCAAAGTTTTTATTACCACCACCCAACGGTCCTGAAATTGCAATTCTTACAAATTCACCTGGCAATAATACTTCTGTAGAGGCTGAGGGAAATCCCTGACATAACTAGTTTGCCTAACACAAAGGGTGTCCTTGTGGAATCACAGAGCTGACAGATGAGGAAACCAAGACACAGCCATGTTAAGCTCCTGGTGTCCGAAGTTCCAGGTTCGGCATGTGAACATTTTGTCAAAAATAACTCATTAAACATTCAACAGTACTGCCACCTGTACAGTCTGGAACATATCTTACATTTTTAACTATTGCAGCTTACTCTGGACACGTTTTTATTCAAAGAATGATTAAAATGTTTATTTGGAATATTTGGCATCCAGTCTATTTTTCTTAACTTTCAGATAAAAGTTCTCAGGATCCAGTGTTTTTCCTCATTAACTAGCAATTTCCTCTCTGCCGTTGATGATACTCACCCCCAGATTATCTCAAATATAAACTAGGAGAAAAACTTCAACACACTTTCTATTCTTTTGCTTAGCACGTTTTTCTCTCAGTGCAGAAGATTGACCCCCTCACCAACAGACTGTCACAAAACAGCTACAGTGGTCCCTCTCATCCCTAGGGGATGCCTGAAACTGTGCAGAGTACTGACCCTGCGTATATTGTTTTTTCCTATATATACACACCTACAATAAGCTTAATTTATAAATTAAGCACAGTAAAGAGATCAACAATAACTAATTACAAAAAAACAATAAAAATTGTAATAAGTTACGTGACTGTGGTCGCTCTCTCAAAATATCTTACTGTACGAATTTAATGCCTTTCTATCTTAACTAAGGCACTTATCACACACCATGGTAGTAAGGTTTGCAGTTTGAGATGCAAAAGCAAAACTAGCATGATTTTATTTTTCCTTCCTCACAGCTTCATGGATAGAAGATTCATTCTTTCTGTAGATCTCAGCAACCTCAGCATACAAATTTTTTTTTCCTTCCTTATTAAGTCAAGAACTTTCACCTTTTCATTTAGCAGAAACACTTTACTGCCCCTCTTTGGCACATCTGAATTGCCGGCATCACTACTCTAGTGCTTTGGGGCCATTATTAAGTAAAATAAGGGTCACTTGAACACAGCACCAAGATACCACGACAGTTGATCTGATAACCCAGACACCTACTACGTGATGAATGGGTGGGATACGATGAGCAAAGGGATGATTCACATGCCCGATGGGATGGAGTCGGATGGTGAGAGACTCCATCACATTACTCAAAACAGTACGTCATTTCAAACTGACGAATTGTTTATTTCTGAAATTTTCCACATATTATTGAAGCATGGTGACTGCAGGTAACTGAAACTGCAGAAAAAGGAAACTGCAAATGAGGGGGCGGGACTACTGTATTTTTCTCACCCAAACAGAGTAAATCCCTGAGATCTGGCTCAGTTCACTGAAAGTAAAGCACAGTGCTGTTCTCCTTTTTAAAAAGAGCCAGCCAACTGCTCCATTCAGTATTATTGCTGATTGACATACTTGAAATCTGAAGTTTAAAATGCTCTTCTTCAGTAGATCCTGCCCAATTAGATTAAACACATAAATTATACATAAAACACTTATTAAGAATAGTCCCCAGAAATGATCTCTAAGAGAGATCCCTGCTTCCCAAACAGAACAAGGCTTTTTTAAGCTTAACAAGCTTTACAGTGGTTTCTATGACAAAGCCTGGAAAACACAGATTTAAATCACAATTTACCACCAATGAGCTGTGTGATCTTATCACATTATCTTCATAACTCATTTCCTCATCTCTAAAATGGAGCGAAGCAGATACCATCTACAGTCTTTATTAACTCTAAAGTCCTCAGATTCCATGATGGCAAGATCAGAAAACTTCTAACTCATCTCTTTGCCTCTGCTCTCTCCTAAACTACCCTTCATACTACCACCACCAACTAATGTTCCCAAACTGCCGCTGTATTAGCTTCCTATTACTGTTACAACAAATTATCCAAACTCAGAGGCTTAAAACAACTCAAATTTATTTTCTTACAATTCTGAAGATCAGAAGCCTGAGCGACCTTTTCCGGCCTTGATTCGTTCATTTACCCACTTCACCTTTTAACTCCCTCACAAGGGAGATGTATCAGCTTTCACGCAGACTCTTAAATCTGCTGATGACAGAGTGCCACCTAGTTGCAATACAGGGTACATCACGATAGCAGCAGGAAGCTCCCCACACTAATTTTACAGAAAGGTACTGTAGGTAAAAATAAGAAGCCACAGTACTATTTCTCAGGACAATGTAATTGTCTTATCAGTGCATCTTATCACCCCGATCAGTCCACCTCCCAAGTCTTAAAGATACCTGTTCTCAGATCAGCACCATGCATTATTAGTCATTTAATATTTACTAAATCAAATTCAGCTCCTCAAGTGTATCATGCCAGTCAATTCACGTGTAGATGGTTAAAAATTTGTTTGATAACCACATGAGAGCGGTTTTTCTTGTTTTTGGTTTTTTTTTTTTTGGAGTTTATTATAAGAAGTAAACGTTGAAAGTAAGTACAAAATGAAATCTTGTGAGTTACTCACATATAACGGAGCTTGTTGTGGATTAAGTTTCATGACCCAGGACACTGAAAAAGAAAAGGAAGATGTACATAAGAATAAAATCAAAAGTTATCAAAAACCACCTCAAGTCCCCTAGATGTCAAGCATGGTTACATAAGCACAATCCTTACTGGATACCCAGCTTTCCTTAGAGGTTGGGGAAGGCAAGAAGGTCGAGTATTCCAGAATTCCTTGCAGCCCAGATTCAATCTTTTCAAGTAGGGAGGAAAGATTTCCCAATTGAAAAATAAAGACAAACGGCTTCACTGTCATAGAAGTTGTTTCAACAACCGACCAACAGGATATTAAAAGCAGTTACCAAAGCAAGAACAGTGTGTGTTCAGTTATGCTTTTACATAACCTCCCAAATTCACAAAATGCTCCTCAAAGAAGGGTCCTTCCCGGCCCCACTAGGGAGCATGGGGTGGAGGGGAGGGGCAAGAGACCACCAGGGGGCCTCTTCCTCCCAGCCCTTCTCTCAGAGAAGGGCAGCTACGGCCGGCCTGCAGCAATTGTTAAGTTATCACTCCCCTCAAAGTTCATAGCTGAATTCCCTATTGTTACCTTCATTAAATAAACTCTCACAAAAATCTTACGAAGAACTTTAGAGAAGCCTTTCAGGGAAATATACTACATCTCTGAATATTAAGAACAGCATGTTCTTAAAAGTTTAACTTGGTGATTTGACCAGGATTTCATCTAACTCAAAACTATCGTGATCCAGAATTGTGTACTTCAGAAGGGCAGGTCTTTTGCCAAATACAATGAATTTGAGAATAAGCTAATCTCATCTGCGTAAGAGTCAGAGAAGTTAACCCAAGTGATCTCATTATAATTTGATCTTAAGTGTCTTACTCATAATCAGTAATTGGATTAAAATAAGGCACATACAAACAACAATACAGAAGTGTCACTCATGCAAAAAAAAAAAAAAAGGTAAAATCCCACACTTGGTATTATACCAGATCACAAAAACCCAACAAATAAGTGAAATCCAAACAGCATAAATTGGAGGTTATCAAAGACCAAATTTTTAGAATAAAGAGCAATGCCTTAGCAATCATGCATAACTTAACAGAATCCTTTCAATATTAAAATTCTCATAAATCTGCCAGTCTGTTCGTGCTGTGTATGTCTGAGGATCAAGGCTCACCCAGAAAAAGTTAATGCACACCTGTGAAAAAGTATCTATGACCACGATCCTAAAAACCACCACCCCCAACCAGCAGCAGGCCAGGGTTTCAATGTGTTCTGCTGAAAGACTAATAGCCAGGGGGCTCCCCACAGTGACTGACCACCTCCCTGTCCCCCAACCCCATTCATTCTCTGGTCTACCCTCCACATTGTAACAGGCTTCCTGGGCTCAGGGCACGCTTTCCTTCCTGCCAGCCTTCCTTTAATGATTTTGTACCCCTAGGTGCTAAAATCACCTGCAGAAATCCACACGAGAAACCAAGCTTGAGAAAAGTAGCTACAGCCAACTCTTTTAGTAGAAAAACAAAGATTTCCTGCCCATCAGATTCAAACAGCAAGCATGAATAAAAAAGAAAGACTGAAGACTGAGTACTTTCTCAACACGTTCAATACCCATTTAACTTAATACTACGCTCACTGTGCTCACTTGTCTTTTAATCAGCTTTCCAGGTCCTGTTCAGACTTGCCTGGGACAATGATTGAAAGAACCTATACATTTATGAACCAATTTGCCTTAACTAACTTCTGAAGTATTCCTATCCTCCCAAGCAGAAGAAATCTCAGTGGAAATCAAAACAGGAATTAACACCTTGTAATCCATAAGGTTTAGAGATATCTGTGGAGACAAACCAGTGATGCACCAGCCCTCTGATGTTTCTGAGTTTGCCAAAAAACCCAGAATGACTAGTGTAAGGACCATATACATGAACATATCTGAGTGGTTTCTAATGCATCTGGATGAAAGATCTGGTGAAACTCACTTGGCTCTAAGGAAGGGCTGATGCCATCTGAACTGTCTGGAATCATGAACTCGACTAAACATATTTCAAAGCCAAAACCCGTACAAGTTACTTTGATATGAGGATTAGCAAAGGATGACAAAAGTGTCTGTCCACCCACACTGGTCCAAGGGACAAGGTCATTGTTGTGCAGGCAACGCAGGCTGCTGAAAGAATAAATCTGTCAAAAGTCATCAAGGCAATGACCCCAGAAGCCATGGATTGGTAAATTCAGACTGCCTTTATGCTTCTTCAATGCTGACACACAAGGGGGAAAGAAAGGTCTAATATTTCTAGAGCTTTATATCCAATGTTATATTTAATCTCCATAAAAAGATATTATTTTTCCCCATTTCATCGGCAGAAAAAAAAATTCTTTCGATGATTAAATTATTTAATACCAACACCAAGAGGTGGAGAACCCAGATTCAAATCCAGTCTGATGCCACCAATTGACTTGCCCTACCCGCAGCCCTCATTCTACAGAGGCTCTCCCTGACTTTGTTAACTCAGCTCTGGCTGGGCATCCACAGTGTTCCAGGCACCGTACTCCTCAAGGCACTGAGGGCACAGAGGCTTCACAGAGCTTATTCCAGGAGTAACACAGATAAATAAAACACTAAAATAAATGGCTTTTGGAAAGTGATTAGTAAGTGAGTGCTATGTGAAAAACAAAACAGAGAAGAGGGAACAGGAAATAAGTAGGATACAGTTTTAAATACGGTGCTGAGGGACGGCCTCTGAGTTGACTTTTACCCAAAATGAAAGAGATTAAGAAAACAAGGGATACAGATAATAGATGAAAAATGTTCCAGACCCTCAAACTGGTCCTGAAACTGCGAACTCAGAGTTCTGAAGTGAAGACATCCAAAAACTTGCTAAGTATAATGTATCAAGTTATTTCACACATTTAAACAAACTTACACTACTTGAGAACTGTTCTAAAAACAGGAGCATGATACAGGAAGGCAGTCTTTGGGCGAGAGCAAACGCAATTAAAAACCAATCTGTACTCCATGACAAATTTGGAGATCACTGGAGTCTTTGCTTTGTTAAGAGATTTTTGACTAAGTTTCCCAAAAGGAGAATTAAAGAAATGCTCTATGTCCATGCAAGCATTTCATCAAGGAATTTTAAGAAAGAAAACCCTAAAATGTCTTCCTTTGTCGTAACTAGTGAATGACTCTGAGCAAGTTCACGAGTTTACCAGGCTGCTTTCACGTAACACAAGCACAACATGGGACAGTAAAGGCTGTGTGCCATTTGAAAGAGACCATGAAGAAAAGGAAATATCAAAACTCAGAGACTTAAATTATATCATTTAAGTATGTTCACCAACTCTGCCATTCAGTAGTAGCCAGCTAGAGCTCTGAGGAGTTATAAATTCCAGGGGTGTGAAATAATGATAAGCATGGTAATTAAGTATTTCTATTCTTCCCACATTTTGCATTTTATTTCAAAATGCTCAAAAAAAAACCCAAACTTAATAGTTAACTGCTGTATAAATGTAACATGTTCACTTTATGTCAAAACAAGACTTATCCAATTTTAATGCAACTGTCTCAATTATATAAATCTACATCCTCCCATAACACCCACATGTAACAAGTCTCAGGGTGCTGGGGATTAGAAAGCAAAGACTGTTGCTACAATCTTTTCCTGCACTTTAATATAAAGTATCATCGGCCTTTCCTTCGCAGGGTGCAATGCACACACCATCATCAGAATGCACCAGCACCAGGCCAGCACTGGGTATGCAGTGCTGATGAAGGTTAACAGGAGCACAGGTTTTGGAATTTTTTGCAATTCACTCTACCTGAAAACGATTATACAGAAATTCAGTCACTACAAAGGATCACAAAGAAACTCAGGCATGAAGTGATATGCCTGTTTGATTAGTTTGGGGGAAGTAATGGGCAGAAAGCACTTCCACCAACCAATGTACCTGAGCAAAAGAATGCAAAACCTTAAAAGCTATTTTAAAAAAAATTACATGCCTAAATAAAAACTGGCATCCACAACAGGTGCCAGCAAACATTTTTGTAAAGAGCCAGATGATAAACACTTAAGGCTTTGCAGGTCACGTGGTTTCTCCTGCAAAATGTACATGAATTGGTGTGGCCATGTTCCAATTAAATTTTATTTACAAAAAGCAGCAGCAGGTTAGACTCAGCCAGTGGGCCACAGAATGCCAACTCCTGGTCAAAAAACTAACAAATACTTCTTAATAAGGCAAAGAAGCAATATGTCCTCATTCAACAGTTTTATATGTCTCAAAGACATTTTCATCAAAAAAACACTTCTCAATACAAGGAAGGCTTAGGATGTGGCACAATATTCTCTAGACAAGAAATCAAATTAAATGGGCAGGCGTCCCAAGTCCTTAATTAATTAACCGCATGAACAAGTCACTTAACTTGTCTGAATCTCTGTCTCCTTATGTGTGGAAAAGGCATTAAAACTCCTGAGTATACTATGGAGTTGGTGGAAGAACTAAAAGAAACAATCCAAGTAAAATACTTAAGCACACTTGCCAGGTACAGAGTAGAAGTCACTGTTCCTTCTTCTTGGCAGGGTTTCTGGGTCTCAAAGGAGAATATCATGTAAAATACTTTGAAAACCATAAATGGTTAAATGAAAAGCTTAGGGTACCAAAAAATTTCTGTCTTAAAACATGCTGGTAGGTAAATTATAATTGTAAAATGTAACAAAATAACCAAAGAAAAGAATCTGGAGAAACAAATACCAAAATGTTAAAGGTACACATTTCTGGCAATTAGAGGGAATTTTCATTCCTAAATTATCTGTTTTTTAATCATAACTATTCAAACAATGAACAGATATTACTTTCAAAATCAGAAAAACATTATACATCTGGTTTCAGTCCACTGTCATTCCATGTATTGCAACTGAACCAGAAATGAGTAAAAAGACATTTTTTCCTAAAAGTGCAAACTGAAGAACTCTACAATGTTTACTAAAAGGCCCTAGAGCTGGTAAAAGCAAGGCAATTAAAACAAGAATGGCTGCACCCATATGCATGTAACCATAAA